GCGCTTTTAGTAGTCCATTTTCGGAACATTGTAGTTTCAACACGGCGGACCCACGTCATTAACCTCCGCTGAAACTTACAGAGAGACAAAGTGAGCCTGAAGGCAGCTCTGAAATGTACAGAGAGACACTGAGCCTGAAGGCAGTGCTGTTCATATATAATATATGTATTTATACATGTGTAACACCCGCCCTGCGGGGGTACTCAAACTTTGCAAGGTCCCCTAACAGGGGTCAAATAAATGACCAGTCAAAAATGAAACACTGAAACAGAGAAGAGAAAAGGTGTTTATTAAATTAATTAACATAAAATTCATGAGTCACCATAAGATAATCGGCGCAAATCTCAATGTCTTACGGGCGGAAGTATAACTTGGGCAGGTATTTTGATGCTTTACTGAGGAGGAATTCAGTGTCACACTTCTAAAGTAAGGGAGTAAAAAGACTCCTTGTCACACAATATCACTGCAACTTAATCACACTATGTATGAGCATGCAATATCACTGCAACTTCAAGTATATTCACACTATGTATGAGCATGCAATATCACTGCAACTTCAAGTATATTCACACTATGTATGAGCATGCAATATCACTGCAACTTCAAGTATATTCACACTATGTATGAGCATGCAATATCACTGCAACTTCAACTATATTCACACTATTGGCATGCAACAAACTTGTGGCGTTTACACACTCAAATCGGATCCTCCGTCAGCTCACAACCAAAATTACCATGACCCTCCCCGATGGTCCACCCTGGCGCTGCGCTGGGGAAGTGGTGACAATTAAAACAAACAAGACGAAAAACAAAAAAATTAACTTGTCCGCCTACCGAGGCAACCCCATAGATCTTTTGCCTCAAATACCGGCTCATATGCCAGACTAGAAACAAAATACCGAAACAAAAATCAACACCAAAGAAAGCAGACAAAACCCATACAGTAAGAGCAGCAGAGGAAATCTGCCATGCTCCCTAAAACAAAGAAAATAGAATCATTAGTTGGTCACCTTAGTACATTTCCCAAAATAAACATAATACAAAACCATATCCTCAACATCAATTACACAGTGGCCATAGCTTTATTAGACAAAAATACATAACGATGTGCGTACCTGGTGTGCTGGGCCCAAACCTTCCCAAGTACAACACCCGGCGACTTTGCTAAAAATGGAGGACAAGGCATAAGTACATGACTTTATAACCATTTAAGTAAAACTAAATTAAAACCACATTCAAAACTTGTCTCACAAGCGCCGCTACACACCAGAGATACTCACTTGGCGATCAGCCCCTGAAGTCACACCTGATGTGTCCGAATGTTGCGACCAAATGACAACTGGAAACACAATAGTACTGGTATTAATACGTTCTCTTTATAAAACATTAAAAAAAACAAAGCATGTTTCCTTACCAGTTTTTCCAGATGCAAACAAACAAAACAGCCAGCATGGATGAGGGTTTGCACCATCCCTCTCCTTCCGGCTGGGAACCAAAAAAACACAGTCTCTCTGTTCCTACCCCGCTTTATACCCTCGCAGAGAATAGCAACGTCTCAGGTGCCACCGGCTACACATGTATGAATTATTCTGAGGTTATTTATTACCATCATAATAAAGTGGCCTGGAGAAGTCTCTACAGGTCTCTAAAACATTTCCATTAAAGTTTTTATTAAAGATTCCAACTCCAGCTGAATGTTTGGATCCACGTGCTAACCAGATCCACGTGCTAACCAAAGCCACGTGCTAACCAGATCCACGTGCTAACCAGAGCCACGTGCTAACCAGAGCCACGTGCTAACCAGATCCACGTGCTAACCAGATCCACGTGCTAACCAGAGCCACGTGCTAACCAGATCCACGTGCTAACCAGATCCACGTGCTAACCAGATCCACGTGCTAACCAGAGCCACGTGCTAACCAGAGCCACGTGCTAACCAGATCCACGTGCTAACCAGAGCCACGTGCTAACCAGATCCACGTGCTAACCAGATCCATGAGTTAACCTAATGCTAACCAGATCTACGTGCTAACCTGATGCTAACTAGATCAGTGCTAACCGGATCCATGTGCTAACCAGATCAGTGCTAACCAGAGCCACGTGTTAACCAGATCCACATGCTAACCAGAGCCACGTGCTAACCAGATCCACGTGCTAACCAGAGCCACGTGCTAACCAGAGCCACGTGCTAACCAGATCCACGTGCTAACCAGAGCCACGTGCTAACCAGAGCCACGTGCTAACCAGATCCACGTGCTAACCAGAGCCACGTGCTAACCAGATCCACGTGCTAACCAGAGCCACATGCTAACCAGAGCCACGTGCTAACCAGATCCACGTGCTAACCAGAGCCACGTGCTAACCAGATCCACGTGCTAACCAGAGCCACGTGCTAACCAGATCCACGTGCTAACCAGAGCCACGTGCTAACCAGATCCACGTGCTAACCAGAGCCACGTGCTAACCAGAGCCACGTGCTAACCAGATCCACGTGCTAACCAGATCCATGAGTTAACCTAATGCTAACCAGATCTACGTGCTAACCTGATGCTAACCAGATCAGTGCTAACCGGATCCATGTGCTAACCAGATCAGTGCTAACCAGATCCACGTGCTAACCTGATGCTAACCAGAGTCTGATGACAGAGCAAGGCCAAATGGACACAGGCTGTTGGTCCTGCTCACTGGCCGTTTTCTTGGATTTCTTTGCTGGTCTTGATTTGGTTGTTTCTGAAGCTGTCTCTAGAGAAGGCTCCACTGGTTTGAGTAGACCACCCATCACATCCAGCTGCTCCTCCAGGGATTTACTTGCATATGAATGCACTGAGGAACAAAAGTCCTCAGTCCAAAATAAATAAAAAAATGTTTTAATAAGATGAGTTCTGTTTCTTGTACCAAAGTAAGTATTTTCAGTCGGTCTAATAAGAAGTGTTTATCTTCAATCTGGAAAGTAGGACGACAAAACGGTTTGTTCTGACCTCATGGACCTCTAGAACCTCCCCTAAACACTTTCCCGCGGTACACTCATTAACCCTTCAGTTCACTTAGTGGTTCAAAAACACATTGAGTATCAGAGCCAGGATGATGTGAGGTCACAGAGACGCCGTCATTCACACACGCTCAAACACAACCATGCAAATACACGACTTTTCACGGGTGTAGCTAGTAGTTCACTTTAAACCACTTCTGGCCAAAAATCAACACTCTGCTATGATGTCATAGCCTGACAGCCAATCAGAGAAGAGACACAGCATGTCATGGTGCCTCAATGCAAAAAGCTGCTGCTGACAATCATTAAAGATTTGAACTCAGTTAAACCTCAAGAGCCACTCAGGATGACTCAGCACACACATCTACACACACACACACAAACACACACACAGTAACACATTTACACACACACACATCTACACACACACACAAACACACACACAGTAACACATTTACACACACACACATCTACACACACACACAAACACACACACAGTAACACATTTACACACACACACATCTACACACACACACAAACACACACACAGTAACACATTTACACACACACACATCTACACACACACACAAACACACACACAGTAACACATTTACACACACACACATCTACACACACACACACACAAACACACACACAGTAACACATTTACACACACACATCTACACACACACACACATCTAAACACACACACACACACATCTACACACACTCACACAGTTACACACAAAGTTACACACACACAGTAACACACACACAGTGACACACACACACACAGTGACACACACACAGTGACACACACACAGTGACACACAGAGACACACAGTAACACACACACAGTGACACACACACAGTAACACACACACAGTGACACACACACAGTAACACACACACAGTGACACACACACAGTGACACACAGTGACACACAGTAACACACACACAGTAACACACACACAGTAACACACACACAGTGACACACAGTGACACACATCTTCACACACACACACTCACACAGTAACACACACATATAATGTCCACGATGAGTTTGTTGTCGTGTCGATCAGAAACCCGCTGACTCGTCTGTTGACTGAAACTCGGGGGGATGACTTCCTGCGGAGAGAAACTCGGCGAGGAGTGGGAACACGAAAACAAACTGCAGGACCGGGCCTCGAAAGGTCTGGAACCGTCAGAAGGGGGTCTGGACATTTTAAACGCTTTAGTTTTTGCACTTCCTGCTTTTAGCTTTTGTTTAATTGAGAGCTTTATTTAGAAATGCAGGCAGGAAGCCCAGAGTCTGTTTTCATCAATAAATGAATTAAACATTACAAGAAACAAAATTGTTTTTCAGTATTCAGAAAGAGAATCCTGATTTGCTTTGGTTCTACTAATCAATCAATTATCTCATCAGCTGATCGCCAATCACATTCAACAATCAGCAAGGACATAAAGCTCATGAACCTAAAAATCAATCGTTCACATCAATAGGGGGAGAGAGAGAGGAGGAGGGAGAGAGAGAGAGAGAGGAGAGAAGAGGGAGGAGAGAGAGAGGAGGAGGGAGGGAGAGAGAGAGGGGGGGAGCGAGATAGGGGGAGAGAGAGAGGAGGAGGAGGGAAGAGATAGAAGGGGGAGAGAGAGAGATAGGGGGGAGTGAGAGAGAGAGGGGAGAGAGAGAGGAGGAGAAGAGAGGAGGAGAGAGAGAGATGGGGGAGCGAGATAGTGGGAGAGAGAGAGATAGGGGGGAGTGAGAGAGAGATGTAGGGAGCTGGGGGTGTGAAGAGAGAGACAACACTCAACCATTAACTGAAAAACAAATGATTGTTAATCCAACAAAAACAATCAGTAATGTTACAAGTGTCTTAACAAGAAGGGATGGTGTAAGAGAGCAAGACAGACAGACAGACAGACAGAGAGACCGAGAGACCGACAGACAGACCGACAGACAGACAGACAGACAGACAGGCAGACAGACAGACAGACAGAGAGAGAGACTGACAGACAGACAGACAGACAGACAGAGAGACTGACAGGCAGGCAGACAGGCAGAACTGACTTTTTTTGTCACTCATTATTGTTCAGTCTTCTCGTAACTGTAGCTCCACTCTTTTCTCTCTCTCATCTCTCCACCCGTCTCTCCACCCGTCTGTCCACCCGTCTGTCCCTCTGACCTCCAGTCGCTCGTCAGCGTTGCAGGCTGTGAGTATGTTTCATTGATCTGAAAATCCTCTTAGTTTGAGTTTCGTGGGTTTAATCTTTTAATAGCTTTCACCAGACTCCATTCAAATATTTCACCTTTTAAGAGTTCACTGTTACACACTGAGAGTTCACACTGTTACTGGACCACTGGCTCACAACAAGTCAAGGAGGTTTGGAAAACTTTGGAAAGGTTTGAAAAGTTTTGGAAAGTTTTTGAGAGTTTTGAAAAGTTTTGAAAAGTTTGCAAGTGAAACGAACCCTAAAATGTAATAATATCTTTGTTTTATTTCCAGGTTCTTTCATTTGGATCGGGACCTCAACCTGAAAACACACTCACCTGTTTCTACAGTCGTCGTCATTTAACTTTGGGTAACATGAAACAAACGTCTTAAAAAATATTTTTTGTTTAAATTTGAAGAAGAAAAAAAGCGAGAGAGAGAGAGAGATGGGTTTCTCCGAGCTGCTCCAAGAGGTGAGTCTGATTAAACTGTAATCTGATTAAACTGTAATCTGATTCAACTGTAATCTGATTAAACTGTAATCTGATTAAACTCTAATCTGATTAAACTGTAATCTGATTAAATTGTAATCTGATTAAACTCTAATCTGATTAAATTGTAATCTGATTAAACTCTAATCTGATTAAACTGTAATCTGATTAAATTGTAATCTAATTAAATTGTAATCTGATTAAACTGTAATCTAATTAAATTGTAATCTGATTAAACTGTAATCTGATTAAACTGTAATCTGATTAAATTGTAATCTGATTAAACTGTAATCTGATTAAATTGTAATCTGATTAAATTGTAATCTGATTAAACTCTAATCTGATTAAATTGTAATCTGATTAAACTGTAATCTGATTCAACTGTAATCTGATTAAACTGTAATCTGATTAAACTGTAATCTGATTAAATTGTAATCTGATTAAACTCTAATCTGATTAAATTGTAATCTGATTAAACTCTAATCTGATTAAACTGTAATCTGATTAAATTGTAATCTAATTAAATTGTAATCTGATTAAACTGTAATCTAATTAAATTGTAATCTGATTAAACTGTAATCTGATTAAATTGTAATCTGATTAAACTCTAATCTGATTAAATTGTAATCTGATTAAATTGTAATCTGATTAAACTGTAATCTGATTAAATTGTAATCTGATTAAACTCTAATCTGATTAAATTGTAATCTGATTAAATTGTAATCTGATTAAACTGTAATCTAATTAAATTGTAGTCTGATTAAACTCTAATCTGATTAAATTGTCCGATTAACATCTATGTAGTTAATTTAATGTAAACAAGGCCATGATTGTAACCCCGCCCCCTTTGGTTGCCATGGTGAGGTGGGTGGATTTGGCAGGTACCAGTGGCTCCATGTGACTCTGATCAGTATACCTGGATTGTTGATGGCCAGTCAGAACCTTCTGAACAACTTTGTCTCAGGAATCCCCACCCACCACTGCAGGCTGCCGGCCAATCACAGCTTCTACAACCTGTCACACCTACAGGTAACCTGTCTGTCTGTCTGTCTGTCTGTCTGTCTGTCCGTCTGTCCGTCTGTCTGTCTGTCTGAACCTCTCTAAACAACCACAATACCTGTCTCTCAACACTATGTAACCTGACTGTCTGTTATAAACTGTCTCACACCAGCAGGTTTCTGGGTCAGGTTAACTGTGATAACTTAGACTGAACATGTTAACTGATCCATAGCTGACAGCAGGAATTATTGAACATGATTTGGTTGGATATACATGAATGGTTGGACGGAAATGATAGGTTTGATAAATATGATTGGTTGTTTTAGGTGGATGAGAAGCAGCTCCTGAGGGCATTCATTCCTCTGGACTCTTCAGGAAGTAGACTGGACCGCTGCAGGAGGTAAACTGTGTTCTCTTTTATTGGTGTTTCATTGAATTGGTTCCCTCTAATGTCACTTGCTGTTCCTTGTGTTGTTCTATAGGTTTGTTGAGCCTCAGTGGCAGCTGTTAGCCTTAAACAGCTCAGCTAACATTAGTCAGATACAGACGGAAGAATGTTTGGATGGATGGACATTCGACCGCTCAGAGTTTCTCGCCACCACTGTCTCCGAGGTAACAGTAAGAACCTTGAACGCTGATGAAGGCCTAGTGCTGACACGCGTCCGTTGTTATTTTGTACTCTGCTCTTTTAAAAAAAAAGGAAACTTGAAGGATATTTAGTGTGCTGACTTGTCTGTCTCTTTTTTAGTCTAGTTATGGTCGTGCACCTGAAACTTTATTTATTGTCGAGTGTCTTTTTTGCTGTTTTTGATCAGTAAGAACACCTCTTGTTGGAACCCCTCCTACTGAAAGTCTTACAAATGGATGTTAAAATGGAATTAGACGTAAACATAATACTGGTTTATGAATTAGTAAGTCCATAGCAGCAGGCTGTCCTCACCAACAATATAGAGGAACCTACAAGACCTGAGAGCTCAAGTGCTCCCAGGAAAAGATGTGGTTAGTAACTAAGATTTATAGATAGTGACGAGCAGTAATATGATGTGAATGCACAGAGAGGGACAGATAGGTGCTTCAAGGTGCCAGTTCCCCAGTAGATTAAGCCGATAGCATTATTTATGACTTGGTTGTAGTTATCCTTGACTTGGTTGTAGTTATCCTTGACTTGATCGTAGTTATCCTTGACTTGGTCGTAGTAATCCTTGACTTGGTCGTAGTTATCCTTGACTTGGTCGTAGTAATCCTTGACTTGGTCGTAGTTATCCTTGACTTGGTCGTAGTAATCCTTGACTTGGTCGTAGTAATCCTTGACTTGGTCGTAGTTATCCTTGACTTGGTCGTAGTAATCCTTGACTTGGTCGTAGTAATCCTTGACTTGGTCGTAGTAATCCTTGACTTGGTCGTAGTTATCCTTGACTTGGTCGTAGTAATCCTTGACTTGGTCGTAGTAATCCTTGACTTGGTCGTAGTTATCCTTGACTTGGTCGTAGTAATCCTTGACTTGGTCGTAGTTATCCTTGACTTGGTCGTAGTAATCCTTGACTTGGTCGTAGCTATCCTTGACTTGGTCGTAGTAATCCTTGACTTGGTCGTAGTAATCCTTGACTTGGTCGTAGTTATCCTTGACTTGGTCGTAGTGATCCTTGACTTGGTCGTAGTTATCCTTGACTTGGTCGTAGTTATCCTTGACTTGGTCGTAGTGATCCTTGACTTGGTCGTAGTGATCCTTGACTTGGTCGTAGTGATCCTTGACTTGGATGTAGTGATCCTTGACTTGGTCGTAGTAATCCTTGACTTGGCTGTAGTGATCCTTGACTTGGTCGTAGTAATCCTTGACTTGGATGTAGTGATCCTTGACTTGGTCGTAGTAATCCTTGACTTGGCTGTAGTGATCCTTGACTTGGTTGTAGTCATCCTTGACTTGGTTGTAGTTATCCTTGACTTGGTCGTAGTAATCCTTGACTTGGTCGTAGTAATCCTTGACTTGGCTGTAGTGATCCTTGACTTGGTTGTAGTTATCCTTGACTTGGTCGTAGTGATCCTTGACTTTGTTGTAGTCATCCTTGACTTGGTTGTAGTTATCCTTGACTTGGTCGTAGTAATCCTTGACTTGGATGTAGTGATCCTTGACTTGGTCGTAGTAATCCTTGACTTGGCTGTAGTGATCCTTGACTTGGTTGTAGTCATCCTTGACTTGGTTGTAGTTATCCTTGACTTGGTCGTAGTAATCCTTGACTTGGTCGTAGTAATCCTTGACTTGGCTGTAGTGATCCTTGACTTGGTTGTAGTCATCCTTGACTTGGTTGTAGTTATCCTTGACTTGGTCGTAGTAATCCTTGACTTGGCTGTAGTGATCCTTGACTTGGTTGTAGTAATCCTTGACTTGGCTGTACTAAACTTGAGGTTGTTGTAGTGATCCTTTTGTGCTTCCTTGTTTGCCTCTCTGGACCTTTGTGCTTTTAGTGGGAGCTGGTGTGCTCTCTGCGTCCTCTAAAACAGATGATTCAGACTATCTACATGGGCGGAGTTTTAGCAGGAGCCATTATCTACGGGGGCCTGTCAGACAGGTGAGACTCACCTGTTCAAACTGTTGGATTACATTTCCAGTCATCTTGATGAGGGTCTATGTTTTTACTCTTCATGAACATGTTTCAGTTTTATCCTCTTATTGTAATAATCCTGTGGACCTGGTGTAAGTTTCGATCCAAAAACAAACCAATCAGAATCCTTCACTCTCTCTTCAACAGGTTTGGGAGGCGGTCGGTCCTGATTTGGTCTTACCTGCAGCTGGGCGTGCTTGGTTGTAGCTCTGCCCTCTCTCCTTCATACTCCACCTACTGTGTTTTTAGATTTCTGAGCGGAATGGCGGTGTCTGGAGTCATCCTGAATGGAGTCTCACTGAGTACCTATCTACCTGTTTCTCTGTGTACCTGTATATCTGTGAACCTGTGTGTCTGTTAACTTGTCTGTCTGTGAACCTGTATGTCTGTTAACTTGTCTGTCTGTATATCTGTGAACCTGTCTGTCTGTTAACGTGTCTGTCTGTCTTTGAACCTGTATGTCTGTGAACCTGTCTGTCTGTTAACTTATCTGTCTGTCTGTGAACCTGTCTGTCTGTATAACTCTGTCTGTATATCTGTAAACCTGTCTGTCTGTGAACCCGTAACTCTCTGGGCCTGATTTATTAAGATCCCGAGTAAAGAGTACTAAATAGCGTTTTCGCTCCAAAAAATTGCACGTTTGGTTGGTGTGCGATTTGCAGGTGATCTACTAAGAAAATTTGCATGAATGACAACAGGCGCAAACTTTGTGGAGGCGGTAGTATTTAAGTTAGGTTTTTGCGTGTTTTACTGGTTTACGTCACGGAGAGTTTGGACTGAAAGCTCAAAATAGATATAAGTGGAAGAGGTAAATAAACGTATAGCAGATAAATCTGAATATTACAAAAAGAAAATTTGTCTTATAAGAAAACCTCGGCATTAAACAGGACCTCTCTTTTCTTCCCTCCATCTTCTGAATGAATTGTCACACATTATGCAGGAGGAGCACGCTGTGTCCTCTGTGGCACTGGCGCTCAGGCACTACACTCTGCACATTGTTGAGCACCAGCAGCTGACAGCGCTGTGTCTGATCGGACATAAATGCTCTGGAAAGAGGTATCGAAGAAACAGGAAATCCCCAGTTTAAAATATAATGTTGGCGAGAAGAGGGAAATAGGACGACATAAATGACAGTGTTGAAATCCTTTAGAATGCAGATGCTGTGAATGTTCAGTTCTGTTTGGATATAAATAGGAAGCAATAGCCTATAGTTTAATCATGGTGTTTCTCTTCCTTAACCTTGAATCGAAATAAAAAATAAATGCATGCCATTTATTTTTCTGTCATTTGAAACATGTTACCACTTGTGGGGAAAAACGCAATCTTTATTCCTTCTTTTGTTGTGCCTATGTCTCCTAATGACAAAAACAGCAGCCTGTTGTGCGTAACACTGGTCGATTAGCACCTCCCTTTCAAAGGTGTTAAATTCAGACACCGTCATAATCACCTCAGTTTTTGTCAGGCTTGGTAAATCGCAATGCATGTACTAACTTAACTTCTTTGCATTTTCTCCTCCCAGTATTTTGCACTCTTGGGCAGAAACAGCCCATATTGAATATTCATTAAGACAAACGTACTAAATGGACAATGCGTGTTGTTTTGTTCATATGAAGACGCTATCCTCACTGTGCACCGTTAGTAGATCAGATAGCAAACTTTTTGCGGGTGGTATCAAGTTTGCATACGTTTTAAGACACGCAAACCTTTAGTTAATCAGGCCCTCTGTCTGTATATCTGTGGACCTGTCTGTCTGTCTGTGAACCTGTCTGTCTGTATATCTGTGAACCTGCCTGTCTGTATAACTCTCTGAGTGTATATCTGTGGACCTGTCTGTCTGTCTGTGAACCTGTCTGTCTGTATATCTGTGAACCTGTTTATCTGTATAATTCTCTGAGTGTACATCTGCGAACCTGTCTGTCTGTATATCTGTGAACCTGTCTGTCTGTATAACTCTCTGAGTGTATAACTGTATAGCTGTCTGTCTGTTAACTTGTCCGTCTGTTAACCTGTCTGTCTTCAGAGGTGGAGTGGATCCCCACCAGAGAAAGGACTCTAGTGGGCACGCTCACATCCTTCTTCTTCACGTTTGGTCAGATGATCCTGGCAGGGCTAGCCTATTGGCTGAGAGACTGGAGGAAGCTGCAGGTGGTTGTCTGCGCCCCCCAGTTCCTGTTCTTCGCCTACAGCTGGTGAGAATCAAGTGTTTAATTTCTGCTCTCTGATTGTTTTGTCTGTTCTTGACCGTCCTGCTCCCTGATTAGTGTGTTTGTTCTGACCGCTCTGATTTGCCAGGTGGTACTCTGAGTCAGCTCGTTGGTTGGTTCTGAAGCGTCGTTCTGAGGATGCATTAAAGAGTCTACACAGAGTGGCCAGGATCAATGGGAAACCTGAGATAGTTGAAAAGTTGACATTGGAGGTAACTGTCTGTCTGTCTGTCTGTCTGTCTGTCACATCAATAAAGTTATCCAATCAGGTGCTGAGACAGGTAACATTTCACCTGCAGGTTCTGCACTCCCACATGAAGAAAGAGATGGATTCGAGTCGTTTGTCACACACGGCGTACGACCTGCTGAGGACCCGGGGGATGAGACGGATCTCCATCTGTCTGGTCGCTGTCTGGTCAGAAAGCACATCTGCTCCATCTTTTCTTAACCTGTATTCAATCACCTGTATACTGTTACTTATATTAACCTTGTCCCACCTGTGTACACTCAACTACATACAATCCCCCCCTATACCTGTATCCTAAATTAGCCCTATCTCACCTGTATTCACTCACCTGTATTCTCAGGTTCTCCACCAGTTTTGCTTACTACGGTTTGGCAATGGACCTGCAGAAGTTTGGGGTGAGTCACCTGGTTTGCATCAATGCTACATATGTGCTAACAGTGACTTACTAGGCTCTTTCCCCAACTCACCTGAGATACCTGAGATTCAGATCGTTTGGAAACTAAAACAGCCATGTTTACCTGTCCACCTTTTTTTTTAAATTTCCACCAACCATGGAAGTACCCATGTACCTGAAGACCTGTTTAAAGTTGTAGCTGGCTACCTGCTTACCTCTCTACCATCCGACCTGATAACAAAAACCTGTACATCTATCTACCTGTACACATATCTACCTGTGCCATGTTATGTATTTCTTTCTGTTGGATCAAATACATGCTCTCTTTCTATTGGCTGCTGGGTGTTCCAGGTGAGTATCTACTTGATGCAGATCATCTTTGGATTCGTTGATTTTCCTGCCAAACTTTTGGCTCTGGGCATGCTCAGTTACCTGGGGAGAAGGGTCTCTCAGGCGGCCTGTCTCTTCCTCTCAGCCCTCATCATCTTCGCCAACATCTTGTCCTGCAGGTAACAAACACCAACAGTTTTAACACTAAAATACACAAAAACACACAAAAACCCACGATAATGCACTCTTAACATGTCCTCCACCCACAGACATGCAGACTGTCCGGACCACGTTGGCGTGTCTCGGTAAAGGTTTCACCTCAGCCTCCTTCACCACAGTCTACCTGTACACCGGAGAGCTCTACCCCACAGTGATCAGGTGAGGCTGCTACTTCAGATCATCCAGGTGAGCTTTGTATTTTTCGGTCACCCGTCTTCTCATCTAAGACTCTGAATATCATTTGTAAAGAACACCTGAAATAGGTTACATAATCTCCACCTGATTACCTGAAAGTGAGCCTAACCCTGGATTATACCTGTACGGATTGAGTACACGTAAGGCTCTGTGTGAGTAGTCATCGTCTACTTCAAACATTTCAGGTGTTTCACCAGCAAAGATCCTTCCAACGTAGGCAGAAGTTACACCTTAAATGTTACACCAAGCTTCTCGTAGGTGTGACGTCCTCCGTAGAGTCCGGTTGTCATGGTGATGGTGTTATAAATGTGTGGTAAGGTTGGAGGATGAGGAGGAGCAGAGGGTTTAGCGGTTGTCATGGTGATGGTGTTATAACGGTGTGATAGGTTGGAGGATGAGGAGGAGCAGAGGGTTTAGCGGTTGTCATGGTGATGGTGTTATAAAGGTGTGATAGGTTGGAGGATAAGGAGGAGCAGAGGTTGTCATGGTGACAGCAGTGTGTTCTCCCTGACTGATTACATAATTTAGAAACGCTTGCTGACTTTATTTTGACTCCTGCTTTAGTTTCCATGAGCCCAGATCATTCAATCGTTCAATCACAGAGGACCATTAAATGACCTGATGTTGTAGTTACAGATGTCACCACTAGATGTCACTGTTGTTATTGTTCACTAGCTGTAGATAAAGGCTGTAGGCTTTAGTTCACCCCTCATCATGATGCTTTGTCACATTGTACAAACATTAGAGTTTGTGTTTGTGGATGAACGTCAGTGAACAGAAGTTATTTCAGAGACGATCAGACACTGGAACAAACGCTGCAGGGATAGAAAGGCTGTTCTCTGATTGGTCACATTCAGAGACGATCAGACACGAGGGGAGACACTGGAACAAACACTGCAGGGAGATTTTGACTTTGTGTTGGGTTTCCGAGTTGTTGTTTCCGATTTGAGCAGGTGTTCATGTGTATTTTACAACTCGGAAACTCGTTTTTCAGATGTGTCCGGCACAACATGAATGTACCAGAACAATGCAGAGAGAGAAATGCTTCTCTCTAGCCGTTTTCACATCTGCACTCCGAATAATATCTAGATAATTAAAGAAGGACTGCTCCAGAGATTCCCCAACATAGGTGTTCACACGTGCTCCTCACAGCGGGAGACTATCCTGTCAGAGGGAGGGGGGTCAGGGGGTCTCCGAGGTAAGACGGGACGTAAAAAAAATGTGGAAGTATGTGGAAGTAGCGGCCAAAGCAACAGTCGTAGTGTGCGTGCAGACACTTAATGCACCGTGTGGCAGTCACAGTATATAAACATCACTCCCCCTCCTATTGGCTCGAGCTGAATTCTCCGGAGAATATCCTGCTGCGTTCTCTCATTTAATTAATTGGTTTTATTATGATTGGTTAGCAGTTGATCTAATGAAGAGCCGTCTCCATGGTAATACAAAAGTAACATAAACTGACTTAATGATCACATGATGTGTGCTGTCTCAGGCAAACAGGAATGGGCTTTGTGTCCACCATGGCGAGAATCGGCAGCATGGCGGCGCCCGCTGTCCTCATCCTGGATGAGGTGAATTCTGCAGCCAAATGAAACATTTCAGACTTTATGGTGAAACAGCATCAGCTGGCCTGTTAGCTCACATGTTCTAACCAGTTAGGTCACATGTGCTAACCTGTTAGCTCATATTTGCTAACTGTTTCCAGTTTCCCTGCTCTTCCCAGCGTGGTGTACGGGGGGCGCAGTGCTGGCTGGTTGCTTTGCCTGCTTCCTGCCAGAGACATTGAACATCCCACTGCCAGACACCATCGAGGACGTGGAGGACAAATGGTTAGCAGTTAGCTCCATTAGCAGTGCTTTTTATTAACTGTGATTGCTTCCTAAGCAGCATTCATTCATTATTATTATATGTGTTAGCCATATCAACTACATTAGCATCTTTGCAGCTTCACAATCATTAGCAAGGTTAGCTTCATTGATTCCATAGATATATTATAAATCTAAATAATCGAATCCCTACTGAAATCCCATGAAGAAAAGAGATGCTAATGCAGTTAGCTCAATAGCAATAACTAAAAACCTCTGTTTGCAGGTCTGGAGGAAGCTCCTCCCCCCAGCAACATGAGGGCGTGGCTTTAAAAGAGGGCTGTCCTGTGATATGGGAGCGTTGTCTCACCGAAGGCGTGGCTTTGAAAGAGCTGAGGGACGCTGAAGGACTGGACTCAACGCCCTCGACCAATGAACCATGACAGCATGAATGAAACTGACCAATCAGGAGACTGTATTCATTAATGAAAATATCAAATCAACCAATA